AACCCTACTTGCGAAAGTTAGGCCACCACGTAAAGTGACCTAGAAAAAGAAACTGAAAATTGGAGGAAAAAGAAACTGAAAATTGGAGGAAAAAGAAACTGAAAATTGGAGGAAAAAGAAACTGAAAATTGGAGGAAAAAGAAACTGAAAATTGGAGGAAAAAGAAACTGAAAATTGGAGGAAAAAGAAACTGAAAATTGGAGGAAAAAAAATTTAATTCCGAATAAAAAAAGCAAAGAAAAATTTATTTCAGAAGGAAAAAGTCGACAAAGGCAATAATTGGGAATGAAATAACCAGAGAAAAATAGAGAAAAATCGAAATTCCAAACTGCAAAACTCCGCAAATACCGAAAATCAACGCGTAGAATTGAAGGAGACGCTGTAAATTCGCTCTATTGCACTTCTCTGAAAAATTCTCAATGGAGCGCGCGATTACCAAAAAACTGAAAATCTTCCATTTTCGTGTCGCGAGTCGCGGATTATCCCACGGGTAGAGCTCCATACCTGAATGCGGCTGGACGCGCCTCGCAAACGCCATTTTTGAATTCCCACGTTTTTATCGGCGCGCGCGAAATTCAAAATTTCTCGGTGAATTCGCTAAAAATGAGCACTCGAACGGCAAAAGAAAGAAGTGAGAAGCTACTTATCCCGAAAATCAAAGAAAATCTAACATTTGAAAGTGTGAAAAGAAAGAAAATCTGGATTTTCGTTCCGGTCTTGGTGAGAAAATTCGCTCTATTGAGAAAAATTCCATTGTGGCTAAATTGCAGGCATTTCCACATCTTCTAGTGCTCGCTTATGTTTATCAATTGATTTTGAGCCTTTATTTCGGTAGTTGGATGTTTTTTGGGATTATTGTGAGTTTTTGAAGAAAAATTATTTTTTCAAAAAAAAAAATTTTTTTTTGAAAATATAAATTTCAAACATTTTTCCTGTTAATTCTATTGCTAGGAATTGTGTTCGATACGAAAGCAACCGCGTTTTGTAGTTTTATCGGATGTGTGAGTTGATTTGGCGGGAATTTGAAAATTTTGCAACAAACAAGTTCTTGTGAAAACTACAGTAATCCTTTTTCATGGGATGGCATGTGTTGTCTTACTGTATTTGTCAGTAGTTATGGGATTTGGAGATTGTAAGTTTAAAAATTTTGAAAATTCAAAAATCGGAATTTCGGAAATCCAAAAATTCCTAAGTTCGAAAATTTTGAAATCCTAAAATTCACAAATTCAGAAATTCAGAAATTGAGATATTCTGGAATTCAGAAATTCAGTAATTCGGAAATTCAGGAATTCGGAAATTCAGAAATTCAGAAATTCAGAAATTCAGAAATTCAAAAATTCAGAAATTCAGAAATTTCAGAAATTCAGGAATTCAGAAATTCAGAAATTCGGAAATTCAGAAATTTAGAAATTCAGAAATTCAGGAATTCGGAAATTCAGAAATTCAGAAATTTTAAAACTCAGAAATTCAGAAATTCAGAAATTGGGAAATTCAGAAATTTGGAAATTTGGAATTTTCAAGAACATTCTAATTCTGAATTCCAGAAATTCAAAATATAAAAAATCGATTTTGAGAATTTAAAAAACCAAAAACTTCGAATTTTCGAATTTCAAAAAATTTTAAAAATACTTCAAAATTCCATTTTTTCAGATTCCTCGACCAGAATCTGTAACCGTCCGGCTCTGAACTTCGCCACGTGTCTCTTTCTGCTCATTTTGAATTCGTTAACAATTTGGCCACTTTTTGTGATGATCAAAATTATCAAACCGACGAAAAATCTCCGGGGCAATTTGGGAAGCGAATATGAGCATAAAGTTAAAGTTTTAATTGGACGATAATTTTTTTTTTCCTGAAATAAATAATTTTTGTAATCTAGTAATTTTTCTAATTTCCCTCTCTCCTCCTCTCTTGCCTCTCTCTCCCTCCCCGCTTCTCTCCACTACATAACCGCACTCACAAGAGCTAGGCAAATGTGGCCGCGTGGCGCAATGGATAACGCGTCTGCCTACGGAGCAGAAGATTGTAGGTTCGAATCCTGCCGTGGTCGAAAACATATTTTTGCTTTTTTGAATCTATGATTTTTGTAAATATACATAAAACAGATGATCAATAACCGATAACATATGTTTTTTTCAGCGAAAATCATACAAAAACAAAAATTTTCACGAGCGAGATCATTTTTAATCCGATTTCTTCAATAAAAAAGTGTAGAAGAACTGAACAACTCATAACAAACGGTTTAATCATTGGAACTTTTTCAGAGAATTCATGTGAATTGTAGAAAACAAAAGGAATAGGATAAAAATGGAAAAATCGAGAAAAAATTTCACTATGGTACTAGTCGCAATGTATTACTGTATTTCTGAATTTTGAAACGAAAATAGAAAATTTCAATATTTGAATTGCTTCGAATTTTTTGGACCTTTTGAATTTATGATTTTTTGAATTTTCCGAGTTTTTGAATTTTTGAATTTTCTTTTTTTTTCGAATTTCGTAGTTTGTTGAATTTCCGGATTACTGTATTCCTGAATTTTTGAATTTTGTCTATTTCTAAATTTTTTCCCGCCACATTTTTAATATTTTGTACCTGATTTTTGTCCAAAGTTTGAACAAAAATGATGAAAAAAAAATCATAGTCTGGCCATTGTGACCATTTAATGATCAAAATCTATACGATTTTATTACTCATAGTCTGATAATCCCAAAAATAGGTTCAGTATTTAATTTGGAAAACGCAAGACAATTTTGAATTCTGAAATTCTAGAATGTTCTAAATCCTCAATTTTCAGTTTTATGAGTTTTTTCTCGAATTACTTAAAGAATTCCAGATTTTAAAATTATTCAAACTTTTGAATTTCCGAAATTTCGAATTTCTGACTAATTGGGATTTTTGTGATTTTTGTGATTTTTTGGAATTTCTTAATTTTTAAAGTTTTTTATTGAATTTCTGAATTTCTGAATTTCTGAATTTCTGAATTTCTGATTTTTTTTTGAATTTCTGAATTTCTGAATTTCCTAACTTCCCGGATTTTCGAATTTCTGAATTTCTGAATTTCTGAATTTCTGAATTTCTCAATTTCTCAATTTCTGAATTTCTGAATTTTTGAATTTCCGAATTTCTGAATTTCTGAATTTCTGAATTTCTGAATTTCTGAATTTCTGAATTTCTGAATTTCGAATTTCTGAATTTCTGAGTTTTAGAATTTCTGAATTTCTAAATTTCTGAATTTCTGAATTTCTGATTTTCCGAATTTTTGAATTTCTGAATTTCTGAATTTCTGAATTTCTGAGTTTTATAGAATTTCTGAATTTCTGAATTTCTGAATTTCTGAATTTCCGAATTTCTGATATTCTGAATTTCCGAATTTCCGAATTTCCGAATTTCTGAATTTCTGAATTTTTGAATTTCTGAATTTCTGAATTTCTGAATTTCTGAATTTCTGAATTTCGGAATTTCGGAATTTCTGAATTTCTGAATTTCATTGACTTTGAAAGCCTATGATCCTTTATCCAATATGATCCCAATATCTTCTTTCCACTCCAATTCCTCTTTTTGAAAATTTTCTTTTCAATAGAATATTTTTTATTCTTCCGAAATTTTCCGAGAATTCATAGACAATTCAAAAACAACAATAAAAAAATCTGTATCCGTTCGTCCGGGGGGCAGATTATTAACACCTTTATAAAACTACTCAACCGTTTCCAACACTCATGTTTCCCTCTTTTTTTCCCTTTCATTCGTTTTTCCAGAAAATTCCGGGTTCAGATTTGTTGGATTTTCAGTTCTAAGAGTTATGGAAGATCCAGAGTAACCTAAATTTCCAAAATGTCTGAATTTAGAAAACCAATTTAATTTCAAGTTTTAATACTATTTTATACTTTTTGAATTCCCATTTTTTCTTTTTCAATTTTCAATTTCCAACTTTTAGAATTTCAGAATTTCGAAAACTCAAAAATCCGAATTTCCTATTTTCGAACTTCTCGCAATTTCGAAATTTCGACTTCCTTCTCTCCCAACAATCCTTCATTATTTTCCCCCGACATTATTACTAATCATAAAAATACAATTGATTAATTTCCGTCTACTACAGTAATCCGATTTCCCTTCCACTAGAAAACTGGCCGGATTAGTGGCGGGCTTCTAGAGTACTCTCTTCCCTTTAAACTCTATTTCCTTTTTTGAGTATTTTTGATCCTCTGAAGGGAAGACCCCCTGACCGGACACAAAGTTAGAGTATTTAGGTTTGATCCACTTTTTCAAAACATATGATTTTTAGGAAAAATAATGAGAAAGTTTTTAAAAACTTATTTCGAGACATTTTTGGCCCAAAAAGTTTTTTTAAAATGTTTTTTGGATATTTTAAAATTTCGAGTTTCTGAGTTTCTGAATTTCCTAACTTTCCGAATTACCGAATTTCTGAATTTCTGAAATTTTGAATTTCTGAATTTCTGAATTTTCTGAATTTCTGAATTTCTGAATTTCTGAATTTTTGAATTTTCTGAATTTCTGAATTTTTTGAATTTCTGAATTTCTGAATTTCTGCATTTTTTGAATTTCTGAATTTTCTGAATTTCTGAATTTTCTGAATTTCTGAATTTCTGAATTTTCTGAATTTCTGAATTTCTGAATTTTCTGAATTTCTGCATTTTTTGAATTTCTGAATTTTTGAATTTCTGAATTTTCTGAATTTCTGAATTTCTGAATTTCTGAATTTCTGCATTTTTTGAATTTCTGAATTTTTGAATTTCTGAATTTCTGAATTTCTGAATTCCGTTTTTTTAGTTTTCCAAATGGGCCAAAATATGAAAAACCAGTTCCAAAAATTTTTCACTTTTTGTGGAAATCCGTTGGATCAGGGCTTATAGTCATAAAAAAAGACAACCTGGAATTGCGAAATTTCCAAAATTTCGGTTTTTTGCGATTTAGCGCTATTTCAAAATCCTAAAAAAAAACTTAAATTCTGATTTTCTGAATGTCAGAATTTCAAAATTCATGAAATTCAGAAATCCCAGGACTTCCAAAACCTAATGTTGCACTTTTCGTTCTCTTTTTCTCAATAGCTTCCGTAAGGAAAAGAGAGAGAGAGAGAGAGAGAGAGAGAGAGAGAGAGAGAGAGAGAGAGAAAAACATGAATAATAGGCATAATCGTGTCATTTTGTGTCATGTATAAAGAGGAAAAAGGTGTATACTAGTACATTTGCTACCCAAACATGGCCCAATTTTCCATTTTCAAAATAAGGAATGTTTATTTTTCCTTTTCCCTTTGACCCCTTTCATTTGCATTTTCCCTTTCACTTTTTTTTTGAAAAGGAAAATGGAACTTTTTGAATATACTGTACTACTATCTTTGATAATTGGATTTTTTCATTTTTTTTCTGTAAATTTGGCAAAAATTGGAATAAGCAAAAATAAAACCTCTATAAAAGCGGTCAAATTTTTGTTAAGAGCCATTTTTTTAGGTTTAATAATTTTTTAGAGTTCATATAAGTTTTTGGATATTAACATTGAGAAATTCCAAAAAATCCAGATTCTTAGATTCTTAGATTCTTAGATTCTTAGATTCTTAGATTCTTAGATTCTTAGATTCTTAGATTCTTAGATTCTTAGATTCTTAGATTCTTAGATTCTTAGATTCTTAGATTCTTAGATTCTTAGATTCTTAGATTCTTAGATTCTTAGATTCTTAGATTCTTAGATTCTTAGATTCTTAGATTCTTAGATTCTTAGATTCTTAGATTCCTTTCAGGTTTTAGTATTAAAAATGTTCCAAAATAAGAAAAAAAATTCGTAGCAAACAACCAAACATTTCCCTTTTCTCGTCTTAGAATGTGGTCAGAACCATTTCCGGTCATTTTTGAAGAAAAGGGAAAAAAGCTCTCTCTCTCTCTCTCTCTTTTTTTTTTACTTTTCAGTTAGCTCAAAATGTTTTTTACTTTTCTGGATGTATTACCGAACTTTCGAGAAATTTGAAATTTTCGAATTTCTGAATTCTAATTATTCATGAATCGTTAAATTCTTTATTTTATCCAACATACCTAACCTAATCTGCAATTTCCAGATCCAAAAAAACTCGATGAAATTATGAGAAACCACAATAACTACAGTTTTCGTTGGGGCCCATTGCTCACTCTAATTCTAACATTTCTCTCATCCGGAGCACACGGCTCTGAGCAATGTGGTTCGGATTTGAAGCCACAAAAATTAGGTGAGTTTCGATTTTTCGAAAAATTGTGAATTTTAATGCCCTACAAAAGGGGTCCAGCATTTTTCAATTTGTCTAAAAATTTCAGAGTATACTAAACAAAACTAGAGCTGCATTTTTGTAGTTGACAACTTTTTTGAGAAATTTGAGCTTGAGGAGATACGCTACGTGGAAGAAGGGCGCCTCCGTCGGCGCTATGCTTGGCGCAGACCCACCGCGCCTCTCAAATGAGGCACATCTCCTTAGAGCGCGTTTGTACAAAAAAGTTGTCTTTGGTCGGTACTGTATCATCCTAATGGACAAGTAAAGCTCATGGAGTTTCAGGTTCTCTTTTTTAAAACTCATGTTTCCAGTGGTCGTCGGTGTTTGGAAGCGTTCCTTCGACAATTCCACAGCCCAATACCGTATTTCTGATGAAGACCTATCCGTTCGCGGGTACGAAAGAGCGAATACCGACAAAGCGACATCTACAGTAATGTTGGCTCGACATCCGGAGAGTTGTATCGTTCATGAATGTGGTGTTCGCTTGTCAGCAATGATGCAAGTCAATGGAGCGATCTTGCATACCGATCATCGATCGATAAGGATGAACGACTCGACGATGGATAATATTGAGGACGAGTTTTATTGCGCCGACAAGAGCGGATTCTGTGGTGCGGATGTTCCGATTTATCGATTGGTTCAGCACTCGTTGAATGGACCGCGTAAGTGTGTATACTGTATTTGCTAAATAGAAGCCTTTGCACTTTGAGCTTAATTATCTCGGTTCCTATAAGAGATATTTAAAATCTGTCAACTGATAAAATGTTAGTCATAATATCAGCAAATTTGTATAAGTGGACACATTTTTGATATCATTCACAAGAACCGAGATAATCAAGCTCAAAATTTGCAAGTAGTTAGCTCAACAGCGCGCTTTTTCAGCTCAATTATTTCAGTTTCTGGAAGAAATATAAAAAAAAAGTCAATTGATAAAATGTTTGTCATGTTATCACCAACATTTTATTAGTTGAGACATTCTTGATATCTCTCGCAGGATCAGAGACAATTAAGCTCACAGACATCGGTCGGCAGGGTGCAACCACTTAGCTCAACCTATATATACTTGAACTTTGAGCACAATTATCTCGGTTCCTACACGAGCTATCTGAACTTGCTCAACTAATAAAATGTTAGTCATAATATTACCAACCATTTTATCAGTTTACCACTTTTTGATATCTCTCATAGGAATCCAGATAATTGAGCTCAAAGGAGGCATTCGCAGGCCGCGGCCAACCTCAGATCTGTTCTTGACACCCTATAAACTTCCAGACTACTCCTACTCCTTCGACAATGTTGGTCAATCTCAACCCGGCTACGAGAAAGAATTCTTTCCACTTTGCTATGCTTGGCGTCAAACTCCATCCGTTGTCCTATTCAACTCATCCGACAACGGAGTTTGTCTGAAAATTCCAGATGTGGAAAACGGAAAAATCGAGTATTCCAACAATCAACTGAACGTGTTTTCCATTGGAACATCAGCAACACTTCGGTGTGATTCTAGATTTGTTGGGAATGGAACGAATAATTTGTTGTGTACCAAAGATGGATGGTATCCGAGACAAGAGATGATGGGAAATTGTGTTAGTCAAGGTAGGAACTTTTTTTCCTTTTATACCGAGTAGGTTCCTGTTTGACTTCCAGAAACTTCAAAAAAACCACTCCGCCTCGTCGTCGCTTCTGACGTCGTCAACCCAGAAGCCACTTGCCCCATCTCCACCACCCCTAACGGCAACGTCGTCTACTCTGCCAACGTTGCAGCTTCCACTTCCAAAACGTCGGTTCCATCTGCCACGCGAGCTACCGTACTCTGCAATCTGGGATTCGTTCCAACAACCTCCGTCACTTCATCAACATGTGTCGACGGTGAATGGATTCCAGCACTACCCCAATGTTTGTCATTGTTGGATTTGAAATGTCCAATTTTGTCGGCGCCGAGGAATGGAGAGGTGGGTCCCTCGTTTTTGAGCGAAAATACCTCGGTTCCTATAAAAGATATCGAAAACTTGCTAACTGATAAACTGTAGCTTATAACGTTACCTACATTTTATTAGTTAACAAATGTTTGATATCTCTCACAAAACCCGAGATATTTGAGCTCAAAGCTATCGGTCGGCAGGGTGTGACCGCGTAGCTAAACTTAGACCTGCACTTTGGGCCAGTTTATCTCAGTTCCTATAAACAATATCAAGAAAGTGTTCACAAGTAAAATGTTGTTTATAATATGCCAAATATTTTATCAGTTGACACATTTTTGATATCTCTTACACGAACCGAGATAGATTAGCTTAAAGTAAAAGGTAACATTATTTGGGATCCCCCGGTTCCGAAAGCTCATAACTTTCTTCAAAATAAACATTTTTGATTATGTCAAAGGTATGCTGTAGAACGAATAAAGTTCTACACAATTATAACAATTTCAATAAACTGCACTGTTGAAAAAAATCTGAAAGAAAGCGTCAAAAAATGAAAGTTCCAGCTCGTCTTCACCAACTCGCCGAAACCTCCATACTCTCTCGACTCAACAATCTCTCTGAAATGCGACCGGAATTTCTTCGGAATGGGAAATCTGACTGCCAAGTGCACGTCAAGTGGATGGGACCAAAAAATCGGGCGGTGTGAACCGGTAGGCATTCGAAAAATGGCATCAGCAGAGAGTGTAGGTTTTTAGTGATCAGCCAACTTTGAGGGCATTTATCTCAGAACCTGTAAAAGTTATCAAAAAGTTGTCAACTGATAAAATGTAGCTGGCATTATGATAAACATTTTGTTAGTTGCCAACTTTTTTATATCTTTTACAGGAAATGAGATACATTGACCGAAAGTTAAATGATCCTTATAGTCAAGAATCACAGAAAAACATTGAACATTTTAGCTCACAAAAAATCGTGTCAAGCGTCAGGTCGGTTTGTGGAAGATAACCTTGTTTTGTTCTTCTATCTATTTAGAACCATTTCATTTCTTCTAACTTTTCCATAACCTATAACTTCTATTCTATCCTATTACCGTAATCACTCTAATAGAACTATCCTATGACTCTTAACTTTGAACAGCTTTTTCTCGGTTACTTTAAGAGATATCAAATAGTGCTAAACTAATTAAATGTTTCTCCAAATATGATAAGCATTTTCTCAGTTGACCACCTTTTGATATCTTTTATAGGAACCGAGATAATTGAACTCAAAAGGCAGGTTTAGATTGAGCTACACAGTCGCAACTTACCGACCGATGGCTTTGAGCTTGATTATCTTGGTTACTGTAACAGATATCAAAAAATAGTCAGCTGATAAAATGTTAAGCATATTCTCATTAACATTTTGACAATTAACACCTTTTTGATATCTCTCATAGTAACCCAGATAAATTGGCTCAATGGTTCGGAGGGCATTCTATTAGAGGGGATACGGTATCTGTTCCTATCAATTTCCAATGTTCTAGAAACTACAACAACCTTATTCTTTTATCAGCTATCAACCGGAACACCCTGCTCAGCAATCGCCAGCCCGGCCAACGGAAACTTGCTCTACGTCCAATCCAGCCTATCCCAAAACTATGCATCTGGAACATCGGCGTATCTCATGTGCTCCCTAGGAACGTCCCTATCTGGCTCCGTATCCACAATGTGTACAAATGGGCAATGGTCACCGGCTATAGGTATTGCCCCCCTGCTATAATCATTTAATTACCCTAATTTAGGACAGTGTACAAGCGCTCCAACGCTGGGTCAAACTACTGGAAACTGTGCAGCTATCCCGAATCCGGTCAATGGAACTGTCACCTATACTTCTGGATGTAAGTGCGCTCTAGGTTACTTTATTCCTATCTCTTTTCAGTGGGCACTTACACATCTGGAACGATCGCCACGCTGACTTGCAATTTTATGAGTACTGTATCTGGCTCGGCCACGAGCACATGTCTCAGTGGAATATGGAATCCCGCTATGGGAACATGTACGGCTTCTGGAACAGGAGGTGTTGGTACAGGGACCACATGTCCGAACCCAGTGGTGATCAATGGAGTTATCACATACAGCCAAGGAAATCCGTTGGATGTGAGTCAAGTTGTTTATCGAGACTTTTGCGAATCATATCCAGCCTAACCGTTTGCTTTCGTCTCTACCGCATTGAATTGAAATAATCAAGCATCGATCATGTCTTAGCGCTCCTCGTTATAGATCAATTAGAAATACAAGAGTTTTAGATCCAAGACAAATTATACCAAGAAATTCATATGAATTTTTGAGAATCAGTAACTCATTTAGGCTTGCGCAGATCTTTCACCCACACTCCCACTGTCACAGAAAGTAGTCCAACCCTAACCACAGAAACACCTTTCACTTCTCCCAGATCCCATCATACTCGCACTAGCAATCGCCACTTTAGTCAATCTTTGGATTTCACAGCATCCATCACCAATACCTTACGTCTCCACACTACAGTGTCCAAATGTAGAGCTTTCCGTGTTGTATCCTTTTATGTGCAGTAATCGAATCATCCCATAGAAATGTCGTACACATGCTTATCCACGCCGACACCTCGATTTCAGGTTACCCGTCCAATGTTAACCACAGCTTCGCTTAGATGTAACAATGGCTACACACTGTCTGGGAACTCATTAGCCACGTGTATCAGTGGAGCATTCACTCCGTCACTTGGCACTTGCACACTTGGAACATCCGGAGGCACTGGCACAACATGTAGTACACCATTTATTATGAATGGAGTCGTCACTTTCAGTCAAGGAAACACTTGGGATGTAAGCAAGCCCAGGACGGTGAAAACTCCGTTCCGACCATAGCAAAGTTTGCCGAAATTGGAGCAGCGGCCCAACCAAGCCCATTCTTTCAATAACAAGCTCTGTGGCACCACTGGGGGTCACTAGATTTATATCAAAAGTATCCTAATCTGGAAGCCGTGGCATCACATTTAGTCATCCTTGAATGTATTTTTATTGCAGCTCACTCGCCCGTCTGGCACCACTGGTACACTCTCTTGTAATTCTGGATACTCAGTCACTGGAAATAGCCAGGCAACTTGCACAAATGGAGTCTTCACTCCAGCCCTTGGAACATGCAATCTCGGAACGGGAACAGGAGGAGTTGGTACAGGAACCACGTGTCCGAATCCAGTGGTGATCAATGGAAATATCACATACAGCCAGGGAAATCCGTTGGATGTAAGTGACAGATCCTCTCGGTCCTCCTTTATCAGGTTCTTATCTGTTACAAGAACAATTAGATAGTTATTATAATATGTATCTGTAACGATAAAGTGTCTAGAGATAGATTTTTATTGTAATGCACGCCTGTTAGTGTTGAGAATTAACAAGCTTTCCTTAATGTCGTGAAATCGGAAAGCGACTTTTTTGAACTCCCGCTTTTTGATGTCATCTCAGTCTCTTATACGTCTCGTACTACTGTAATCACATAGCAGACCATGAAATGTTACACTGTCTAGAATTGTCACCAATCACCCCACCCACTTCATTTTCAGACAACTCGCCCAGCACTGACCACAGCCATGTTGAACTGTAACAGTGGCTACACACTGACTGGAAACACAATAGCCACATGTATCAGTGGTACATTCACTCCGTCACTTGGCACTTGCACACTTGGAACATCCGGAGGCACTGGCACAACATGTAGTACACCATTTATTATGAATGGAATCGTCACTTTTAGTCAAGGAAACACCTGGGATGTAAGCTATCCAAAAACGACCTAAAACTTTCGATGATATGCCTTATCAGTCAACTCTGATGTTAATCTAAACAAATGTTTTTTTAGCTCACTCGCCCGTCTGGCACCACTGGTACACTCTCTTGTAATTCTGGATACTCAGTCACTGGAAATAGCCAAGCAACTTGCACAAATGGAGTCTTCACTCCAACCCTCGGAACATGCACCTCGGAACTGGAACAGGAGGAGTTGGTACAGGAACCACGTGTCCTAATCCAGTGGTGACCAATGGAAACATCACATACAGTCAGGGAAACCCGTTGGATGTGAGTTTAAAATTCTTTGATTCATCTTTTTTTCCAAGCAGGCAGTTCTTATTATCTCTGTATACACCATGCTATTTTTTAATTTCAAAAAAGCGCGCTCAGGAAGTCTTGAACAACAAAATCGTTTATACACTGCCCCCCTTTTAACGGTGTGATCATAGATAGAGTTTTACATCAATTTACACTTGATAGTGTTTGAATCAGCAAGCTTAACATATTCCGTGTTAGGTTCAGACGTGTTGCGAAATCAAAAATTGTCTTTTTTTTTTGGATTCGATAGTATCTACCACCAACTTCTCAGACTATTGAGAAGTCTCTCTCGCACTACAGTAATCTCATAGCTGATCTTGTCGTGTTGTTTTCTTTAACGTACAATATGTAGTTGAATCACACACCTCATCAATCACCCCACCCACTTCATTTTCAGACAACTCGCCCAGCACTGACCACAGCCATGTTATACTGTAACAATGGCTTCACACTGACTGGCAACTCAATAGCCACGTGTATCAGTGGAACATTCACTCCGTCACTTGGCACTTGCACACTTGGATCATCTGGAGGCACTGGCACAACTTGTAGTACACCATTCATCATGAATGGAATCGTCACTTTTAGTCAAGGATATGTTTATGATGTAAGAGACATTTGGAGTCTTACTGTAGAATGGCCTGAGTGCTTTCAAATCGTCTCTTTTTGCAGCTCACTCGCCCGTCTGGCACCACTGGTACACTCTCTTGTAATTCTGGATACTCAGTCACTGGAAATAGCCAAGCAACTTGCACAAATGGAGTCTTCACTCCAGCCCTTGGAACATGCAACCTCGGAACTGGCACAGGAGGAGTCGGAACTATGCAGTGTACTGCAATGATTGCTCCAATCGGAGGTAATGTAACATACTCTAATGGCGGACAAATAGGACCATTCCCAAGTGGGACCACTGTCACGGGATCATGCACGAATGGAGGAGCAGTTCAAGGTAGCTAAGTTTTTCGATATTCAAATCTTACCTTTCATTCAGGAGCCTCTTCCGCCCAATGCTCCAATGGAATGTGGAGTCCAATGTTTTTGGGTACATGCTCTCTGATCGGTGGCTCGACTACCGGACAGTGTAGTGCGCCAACTCTGCCAGCTGGCGCTCAAGCTACCTATGTGCCATTCTCTTTGAGCACCACTAGCTACACATCTGGAACAGTGGCTACTGTAACGTGCACTTCTGGAGGGTCTAGTCTTGGTTCAACAACTTGTACAAATGGATTATGGAGTCCGGCAATTACTGGAATCTGCTCAGGGACAGGTAATTATTTTCATCAGAAGTGACGTTGCAAGAAATCTGATTACAGGAACGGGAACAACTTGTCCAGCTCTGACGCGTCCGGTTGGAGAATCTGTAACATACGATGGTCAAACCTCATTTGCCACAACATTCAACACTGGAGAAATTGCACGAGTCACATGTACAAATGGGACACAAATCGGTCAAGCGTCGTGTCTTGGTGGTCAATGGATTCCAGCAATCACTGCCACGTGTTCAGGATCTAGTACGGCGATTGGGACACAATGTATTGGAGTGATAGCGCCAGCGAACTCACAAGTCAGATACAGTGATGGAGACATGGTAAGTATCAGCGGCTTCCAAGGCAGGGTGGGCTTCTACTGGGGCATAGGTCAACGGAATTGTGGCACAGCTTTGGATGCCTTAACTTCTTAGAGAGACTTATATGAACCTATAAAAGACAAACTATTTTCTAAAGTCCCAAAAATTCCGATTCTTTAGGTCCTCCACGCCTCCGGTGCCACCGTAACACTGACTTGCCTCAACTCCGCTACCGTAACCGGCAACACCATCTCAACGTGTACTAATGGAGCATGGACACCGACACTTGGTACCTGTTCCTCTTCTGGAACATCAACCGGACCATGCTACACACCCCCATTGACACCAACCGGTGCCACGCTCACCTACTCTTCTGGATTCTTCGCTCCATGGACGGCAGGTAAGATAGTTGGGCCAAAGCCTACGAAAGCGCTTGGCACTTTTTTCAACGACTTGAATCTTTTCAAATGTCATGGTGGCGCCGCCCTGGTGGTTAGATGAAACGGCGCATAACTCAGTTCAAACTTGAAATTTCTGTTTGAAACAAAAATTGAAATGTAGAGCAAGAGAAGATCTACAAGATGATACACCATTCGACTATATTGAAATGCCTAATTTTGGGCCAGACACACTTAAAGAAGTGAAGGGTCGGTTTCACCATCCCGGCTGCTTCACGACTTCTAATGTAAAGCTCGCTGTCTGAATATTGTCGAATTTAGCATCATTTTGTAGAACTCTTCGTGTTCTACATTTTGAAAAGTAATTCGAACAGAAATTCTAGACTTGAACCGGGTTATGCGCCGTAGACGAGGGAAAGCATACTCCTATTCGGGTTATAGGCATAAAGGCAAGATTTAAAAATTGAAGACCATGAAAAAAAAAGTTTTTTATCTTGTTAAGCTTAAAATTTCTTACAAAACGGTTCAAAAATGAAATCCCAACGCCTTCTCTGAAGCGAGTTACAAGTGTTTGAATTTCGCGCGCCGAGACACTACGCAAAAGTTGGAGACGCAGTAAAACTAGCCGTCTGCGCCCTCCTCATCCCATACACTCTGTCGCGTTTCAAGCTTCAAAACGATGTAACTCGGCTCAAAATCATCTTTTTTAACTGATTTTTTCCAGGAAGCACGGCCACAATGTCTTGTCCATCTGGTCAAACCGCGCAGGGAACTACCGTAACATACTGTACAAACGCCGCATGGGCTCCAGCGCTGGGTACTTGCTCTGGGTCGGGTACGGGTCTTGGACAAGGTTAGTTTGAATTTCTAAATTTACAGGAATACGGTAAAATTGAAAAAGAGTTTATTTTTGCATGAAATTTCAGACTTCCATTTTTTGCAGAATTTTTGAAATTTGCTGAAAATTAAAAATGTTCGAAAATTTTTTGGAATTTTTGCATGCCCCGCCCCTTTTTCTGACTCCACCCACTTCTCTCCCCCCTGCATGCCCCAACAGGTCCCTCCACTTTCAGCAACCACCCTCACAACCATGTCTTCCACTTCTGCCACGTGTCAATATCTTCCAATTGCTCCACCCTACAGTACCATTGTGACCAGCCAGACGGCTCCATACTCATCTGGAACCGTCGTCACACTTCAATGTGATTCTGGATATCAAGTCCAGGGTCAAAATACCACGTCGACATGCCAAAACGGCTTGTTCACTGAAATTACAGCTCAGTGTACTAGGATTTGAACTTGAAATTTTTCTTTGAAATCTGAAATTTGCTTTAAATGTCTTCCCTCCTGTAAACCTCTTTTTCCAACCCCCGGTGAAATCTTGAAATTTTATAAAACTATTTTTAAAAGTTCAATGTTTTGATATTTTCGGTTTAAAAAGTCTGAAAATAGCATAAACACTCTAATAGAATCACCCCATTAGCGTTCAACTTTGAGCTCAATTATCTCAGTTCTTGTAAAAGTTAGCAAAATTTTATCAACTGATAAAATGTTGCTCATAAAATAACAAACATTTTTGCAATTGACACATTATTTTTATCTCTTATAGGAACCGAGATAATTTATTTCAAATTGGGCCTAGTAGCGGTCGGCAACCTAGCACAGCCGCGCGCACTTTTAAAGCTTAATTATCTCAATTCCTGTGAGAGGTATCAAAAAGTGGTCAACTAATAAAACGTTTCTAATATTATCACAAATATTTTATCAGTTAACCACATTTTGATATCTGTCATAGGGACCAAGATAATTAAGCTCAAAGCGCAGGCAGGTCGCACCCTACCGGCTTATTGCTTTGAGCCTAATTTTCTCGATTCCCATGAGAGTTATCAGAGAGCAGTCAACTGATAAAATAATTATCATTTTATGAGCAACATTTTGTCAGTTGATTACTTTTTGACATCTTTCACAAGAACCGAGATAAATTGTCTCAAAGTTAACCGTCTGGAGGAATTCTATTAGAGTGGTAACAGTGCCTATTTATCATCCCCATAGCATGCATTGAGCATGCACATATATTTTTGCATGTGTTCCGGATTACCGTATTCTCTAATACAATACGATCGCAGCATTACTTTTCTCTGGTCCTACTGTAGCTACAGTACCCCCGACCCCCTCTTCTTCCAGGATGCACACCTCTCTCGGCGTTCAGCGGTACGCTCACCAACGGTCGGATGTCCTATACACCCCAAATCACGGCCACGATTCCGCTAGGCACCGTAGTTAATATTGTCTGTTATTCTGGATATTCTTTGTCTGGAAACTCGATTGCCACGTGCACATCGTCCGGATGGTCACCTAGTAGTGTTGGCAGTTGTGTGCAACAGGGTAGGAGTTAGTTTGTATATGTGTTTTGTATGTTTACAGTGTTTTGTAAAGGTACAGGAAGGTATAGAATTTCGAAAACTTTTTTTTTGATTGAAAACATTTTTAATTTTGGGGATCGGAGTGTTGAACCCAGAAAACCGTTTCATTCTATCTAACCTCCTACAAAAGTTACCGTAATAGAAAAAAAACAAACCCTCCAACTTTAAGCCTTTCTATCTCATTTTCTATCCTAGATATCAAAAAGTGGTCAACTGACGAAATATTGGTCATAATATGATTAAAATTTTATTAATTTATTACTTTTTGATATCTCTTACAGTAACCGAGATAACACCGAGATGGGCCACCATAACCCAAGATGGGCACCGCGGTGCGGAGTCCGCGCGCGCGCTTTCACATGGGTTATCTCCTTAGAGCGCGTTTGCACAAAAAACTTGTCAACTACAAAAATTAAGATCTAGTCTGGTTTAGTATGTTGTAAAAATTTCAAGTAATTTGAAAAAGTGCCAAACACTTTTGTAGGTGGTTGAATGTCATGAAGCTTTGGGATTCACTTTTCGACACAAAAAAAATAGTGTTTTCAACTTTCATATTTTTCCCGCCTTTTTTCGCATCTTGTCCCATGTCCCATGTCCCATAATTGTCTCTTCTAGGCACCTCTAACCCAACAGGAACCACCTGTCCAGCCATGCCCGTTCCAAGTTTCAGTGTCCTGTCTTACAGTCAATTCGGACCTGGACCTTATCCTACTGTATGTTGTGTGTTGGCGCGAAATTTGAATATTTTTTTCAAACTTCAAAGCTCTTGTCCAATAGAGCGCACTTTCATTTTTTCTCACAGGGCACAACCGTAATGCTTCAATGTGATACTAACTATTTGGCCGTCATCGGCGGCGCCACCAGTGCCACGTGTCAAAGCAATGGATTATGGTACCCGTCGACTCTTGCCACGTGTCAACGAGCACTCAAAGGTTAGACCGCTTATGTGTGCATGCACCTAATTTAACACCATACTGCACGAAATCGAAAAAAAAGAATTTCTCGAAAAATTCAAAAAACAAAGCATGAAATTAGCTTTTTGACTTGCAGATTCTTTTTATAAAATTTACGAACAATTTCACAGAAAATTGAAATTTCGAACAAAATTCGAATAGCATGTTTCAGACTTTTGGGCGGATCAAAAAGTTTTAAAACTTTTGTTGAAACAATTTCTGAAACTCTAAATTTCAGAAATTCTCGGAGCCGAGTGCCTTGCTGGAATCGCTCCAGTACTCGGAGCCACAATGACCTATTCGAATGTAAGCTCAATTGGGGTAATTAGAATAATTAGTGTAATTTTTCAGGGTCAAGCACTCGGACCGTATCCATCGGCTACACTGGCCACAGCGACATGTCAAGCTGGATATGTGCCTAATGGTAAATTAGTTGTTTTCAACTTTAAGCCAATTTATCTCGATTTCTGTAAGAGATATCAAAAAGTGGTCAACTGATAAAACATTGGTGATATTATGATAAACATTTCATCAGTTAACTGCTTTTTAAACCCTTTCACAGGAACTGAAATAATTGAGCTGAAAGTGAGCAAGAGTATGGTTTAGGCGGTCGGCAGCCTAGCTCAGCCGCGTTCTTTTTAAACTGGGTTATTTCGGCTCCTATAAGAGATATCAAAAACTTGTCAACTCATAAAATATTAATTATAACAGTATCAATATTTTATCAGTTGATCACGTTTTGATATCTCTTATAGGAACTGAGATAACTCAGCTGATAGTGTGTAGACAGATGGCGGTCGGCAGCCTAGCTCAGCCGCTCGTTTTTAAGCTCAATTATCTCATTTCCTATAAGAGCTATCAAAAAGTGGTGAACTGATAAAATGTTGATGACATTTAGTCAGTTGACTGTTTTGTGATATCTTTTGTAAGAACCGAGATAATTGAGTTCGAAGTGTGCAAGTAGCTGGAGCGCGGCGGCCGCTTAGACTTCATTTTATTTGAGACTCTAAAATCTTTAAAAAATTCTCAATCTTCAGGTATCATGACATCTTCATGTACAAATGGCGTCTGGACACCTGCATCTCTTGGAATCTGCGAACTAACTGGAAACGAACTCGGCGGAACCACTTGTGGACGTCTTGGAGACCCTCTATCCGGAACCCTTGTCTACAGTGCCCTAGGACTCGGACCATACCCCTCCGGAACATCAGCTACAGTACTCTGTAACATTGGAACAACACTTTCTGGATCTCCAAGTGCTCTCTGTACAAATGGAGTCTGGAATCCATTGCCGGGAACTTGTGTTGCCGCACTTTTGAAGAGACCACCTGCGAAAGGAGTTCCAAAAGGAGTGGAGACTGAGCAATCGGTCACACCTGCCAATGATGTTCCAAAGGAGGCGAAAAATGAAACAAGTGTTGTCCGGGGAGATCTGGTTTTGTCCGGAGAAAAATGCCCGCCACCAATTGCACCGGCATTCGGAGAGGTACGGTACTTTTCTGATAGCGAATTTTGAGTTCAATTATCTCGGTAACTGGAAAAGATATCAAAAACTTGTCAACTAATAAAATCTTTTTCGTATTAAAATCAACATTTTATTTGTTGACAACTTTTTGATATATCTTACAGAAATTGAGAAAATTGAGTTCAAAGTGTTCAGCCCGTTCAGATCAGCTGCGCGTGCTTTTTAGGCTTAACTGGCACGATTATTTTAGGTTTCGCTTAACAGTCAAGCTTATAGATATTGTCATCGTTTTGTAGAACTTATTTTGTTCTACAGTATACTTTTTGATTAAGTCAAAAATGTTTAGTTTGAAGCAAGTTGGGAGCCGCGTGACATTGGCTCCGGGACGTTTCAGAACCCGATGTTTCAGAACTTTTCTGCATTTTTGTATATTGGTTTTTGCACATCAAATGAGCATTGCTCATTTCAATTTGTTGTTTTTTTCTGTTTTCTTATTCGTTCTTATCTACCGTACTCCAAATAATGGTTTACACTCGGAAACTCTCAAAAAATCGGAAAAAATTGAACTTTTCAAGAACGATGTCTAGAAGTACGCAATAATTTTTCCGGCGAATAGAAGTCTCATTTTTCAATGGCGTCGTTTTTGAAAATATCAACTTTTTTGATTTTTTTGAGAGATTTCCAGTGTGAACCTATTATTATTTGGAGTACGGTAGATGAGAATGAATAGAAAAGCAGAAAAACACAAAATTGAAATGAGCAATGCTCATTTGGTGTGCAAAAACCACTAGACAAAAATGCAGAAAAGTTCTGAAACGTCGGGTTCTGAACTGTCGGGTTCTGAACTGTCGGGTTCTGAACTGTCGGGTTCTGAAACGTCCCGGAGCCGTGACATGAGCGATCCCAAAAAAAGATGCCCTAACTTTACGCTCAATTATCTCAATTTCTGTAACAGATATTTAAAAACGGTCAACTGATAAAATATCAGTCATGATATCAATAACATTTTATTAGTTGACAGCTTTTTGATAGCTGCAATAGGGACCGAGATAATTGAGCTCAAATTTTCGCAAGAGCAGGCATCAAGCGGCCAGCAGCTTAGCTTAAACACGGACGCTTTCGAAGCTCAATTATCTCGGTTCATATAAGAAGTACCAAAAATTAGAGAACTGATAAACTGCTTATCAAAATATCTGCAGCATTTTGTTGGTTGACAAACTTTTGATAGCTGTAATAGTAAACGAGATAATTAAGCTGAAAGTGTGCGGACGGTCGGCAGTCTGTTGGGCGTTTTTTAGGCTGAACTATCTAGGTTCCTATAAGAGCTTGCAAAATTTTGTCTTCTGCTAAAATTTTTGTTATATAATAAGCAACATTTTACCAGTTAACAGTGTTTTGATAGCTGTAATAAGGACCGAGATAAGTGAGCTCAAAGTGTGCGGACTGTCGGCAGCCTGGTGGGTGGTCTAGCTCAGCCGCGTGCTTTTTCTAGCTTAATTATCTTGGTTCCCATAAGAGATATCAAAAAACTTACAACTAAGACAATGTTTGTGATATTATGTTAAACATTTTATCAGTTGATCACTTTTTGATATCTCTTTTGGGAACTGAGATAATCGGGCTTAAGCTTAACGTCTTTTAGGAAAGTGAGCAATTCGAAATTTTCCAGATCACCTACTCTGGCTTCTCGTCAAAAGGAACATTTGACGATGGCACAACTGCTGCACTAAAATGTAATCTGGGCTATAAACCAACGGGACCATCATTCTCAACATGTCGAAAAGGATCATTCCGTCCGATCATCGGAAAATGTTCAAATGGTTCAGAAAACGGTCTTCCGGGTGTTTGTGTACCTTTAAGTCCACCGAAAAACGCCCGAATTGTGTATATTCAAAGTGGAAGCTCGTTGGATTTCGAGGATGGGACCACTGGATTACTGTACTGTGAAGAGGGATACGCGGTTACTGGAATTGCTACTCTACAGTGTCAAAATGGACAATGGGAACCACAAAGTGGATTTGGAATGTGTGATACTATTTAATTGGGAACTTAATTGGTCAATTAACTAAAAATTACTATTTTGCGGTTCAGATCTCTGTGTATAATCATTTTTTTTCATTAGTTGTTAGTCACTGTATTATATAAATAAATCTTATTTACGAAATTCAGAAAATCAGAAAATTCAGAAATTACAAAAGTCTGTAATTCTTGAAGTCAAAAAAATTCAGAAACTCGAAAATTCAGAAATTACAAAAATTCCGAAAAACAGAAAATTCAGAAATTCAGAAGTTCAGAAATTTAGAAATTTGAAAATTCAGAAATTCGAAATTTCGGAAATTCAGAAATTCAGAAATTCAGAAATTCTAAAATTCCGAAATTCAAAAATTCAGAAGTTCAGAAATTTAGAAATTCAGAAATTCTAAAATTCCGAAATTCAGAAATTCAGAAATTCTAAAATTCAGAAAATCAGAAATTCAGAAATTCAGAAATTCTAAAATTCCGAAATTCAAAAATTCAGAAGTTCAGAAATTAAGAAATTCAGAAATTCTAAAATTCCGAAATTCAGAAATTCAGAAATTCAGAAATTCTAAAATTCCGAAATTCAGAAATTCAGAAATTCAGATATTCAGAAAATCAGAAATTCAGAAATTCTAAAATTCCGAAATTCAAAAATTCAGAAGTTCAGAAATTTAGAAATTCTAAAATTCAGAAAATCAGAAATTCAGAAATTCAGAAATTCTAAAATTCCGAAATTCAAAAATTCAGAAGTTCAGAAATTAAGAAATTCAGAAATTCTAAAATTCCGAAATTCAGAAATTCAGAAATTCAGAAATTCTAAAATTCCGAAATTCAGAAATTCAGAAATTCAGATATTCAGAAAATCAGAAATTCAGAAATTCTAAAATTCCGAAATTCAAAAATTCAGAAGTTCAGAAATTTAGAAATTCTAAAATTCAGAAAATCAGAAATTCAGAAATTCAGAAATTCTAAAATTCCGAAATTCAAAAATTCAGAAGTTCAGAAATTAAAAAAAATCAGAAATTCTAAAATTCCGAAATTCAGAAATTCAGAAATTCAGAAATTCAGAAAATCAGGTATTCAGAATATCAGAAATTCAGAAATTCAGAAATTCAGAAATTCAGAAATTCTAAAATTCCGAAATTCAGAAAATCAGAAATTCAGAAATTCAGAAATTCTAAAATTCAGAAATTCAGAAATTCAGAAATTCAGATATTCAGAAATTTATTAGGTTGGCGGGAAAGTCTTTGTCACTCTGTTTGTTTAATCACTGTTCTCGTATATGGAGGCTGTGTATGATATCGACTCTAGTGAATAACAAGGTGATAAGAACCTTCCATATAAACAAGTCCCCATCTCCTTCCCTGCTCCTCATCTGTAATTGAAACGATATGTTTGTTCCCACTGCTATTCACATCAGACATGTTTTGATTTACCTCTTCCTATCTCACACCACGATGAAGGATTCGGAAACTTTCTTGAAGAATGTGTACAACACACATGCCCCTCACTACAATACTATTCGCAATTGGTTCCATCGTTTCGAAAAAGATGACTTCTCGCTCGATGAAAAGGATCGCTCTGGGAGACCCCGTGAGTTGGATTTGGACAAGCTGAAGCACGCATTGCAATCGGATCCATTTCAATCTAGCCTGAACTAGCTGTCACATTCGGAGTTCACCATAGCACAGTCCTTGAAGGTTTGAAGTCTCTTGGAATGAGAAAACTTTTTGGTCGATTCATACCTCATCACCTGACTCAAGCCAACCTTGACCGCCGAGTCGACGATTCGATTACTCTTCTCACTCTCCACGCGGGCGATCGATGGCTGGACCGGCTAATAACCGGAGATGAGAAGTGGGTCTTCTACGATAATCACCACAGGAAATCCCAGTGGGTTGGAGAAGGAGAGAGCCCACAGGATGTCCCAAAACCCGACCTTCATCCGAAAAAAGTTATGCTCTCTGTGTGGTGGGGAGTGGACGGCCCCATCTACTGGGAACTTCTGCCCGAGGGCAAAACAATAACTGGAGACCTCTACACTACTCAACTACGAAACCTCAAGAAAGCAGTCGACCGTTCGGCCCTGAAAGACAAGAAAGTGTACTAGCAACATGATAACGCTCGCCCACATGTTTCGAAACAAGTGAAGCAGGAGCTGATGGGATATGGATGGAATGTTCTCCCTCACCCCCCGTATTCTCCTGATCTTGCTCCTTCCGACTATTGGTTATTTGGCGATATGACACGTGCCTTCGAAGGAAGAAGCTTCAATTCCCGTGGAGCGGTCGAAGCGGCACTCAAACAATACTTTGCCTCACGCCCGGCTGGATTCTACCGCAATGGAATCCATAAATTGAGGGAACGTTGGAGACATGTTGTTGATAATGATGGACAATATAATTAATTATTCGGTTATTTTTTCTTTGAGAAATAAACTATTGAAAAAGTGACAAAGACTTTCCCGCCAACCTAATAGAAGTTTGAAAATTCAGAAATTTTTGTCTATTTTTACTAAAAAAGATATTATTTCTTTTGGAATTTTTAATTTCCCAACGGGATTCTTATTATTTGAAAAACATAATCATATACTAGAAATCCTATTATCATTATTATTATTCTCTTTTCCTTATCACAGGGTTACTTCTGAAAATAAAACGTTTTCTGAAATTTTTTTGTCTGAAAATTGTAAGCTGAAAGAGAAAATGTTCGAGGCAATCACAGCTGAAGATTTCCGAACGATGAATGATATTGTGGAGGATGTGAGTTAATTAGTGAAACTTAATTAGGGGGTAATTAGTGAAATTGAGGAAATATTTGGAAATTTTGCAAAAAAAAAATTTTTTTTTAAATATTTTTTATAATTATTAGCAAAATTATATTTTATGAATTTCAGATAAATTTTCAGAAAAAATCAGAAATTTTCAAAAATCGAATTTTAAAGTTTTTTTTTCGATTTTCAGCATTTTTCCAAATTTCCTTCTAAAAAAATCAATTTTTGACTGAACACTTATGTAGTTTCAGACAAATTTCGAAGAAGAAATCTGAAATTTTCAAAACAAAAAATTTTTTTCAGAAAAATCGATTTTCCCCAATTTTCAGCCCCTCCCATCTCCGACACCTTCCCCGGGATTCTCGAAAAATGGCGCGATTTCAAACGCAAAATTATTAGTGGTAATAACTGGGTAAGTGCGCTCTACCGAACAAGAAAATGATTTGGCGGGAATTTGAAAAAAAATTGTGGAATTTTTTTCGAAAAAGTCGAAAATCAGATGTCCGAGGAATTTTTAGAAAATTCCAATTCTAAAATCGAGTTTCCTACCTTTGAATTAGCCTAGGCTCCAATTTTCAGCTCTCTAGCTAGCAATCGGTGTTTGCCTACTTTTGAAGCTACAGTAACCCGAAAATGGCGAAAATCTGAATTCCTGTGCATTTTCAGCTGAATTCGATAATAAAATCGAATTTCCCATCCTTGATTTAGTCTAAATCCCCATTTTCAGCTCTCTAGCTCGCAATCGGTGTTTGCGTACTTTTGAAGCTACAGTAACCCGAAAAAACGAGAAAATCTTTAAAAATGAGCTAGAAATCTCTAGTTTTTTGATTTTTGGCTGAAATTTCATGAGAAATTCAAATTTATCGCTGGTTTACTCAAATTATGAGGTTGCGTATTTTTGAGTTACAGTAATCTTCCGGGAAAAGTCGAAAATCGGAATTCCAAGAAATTTTCAGATAATTCCAGGTCTCAAATCGAGTTCCCCACCATTAAATTAGCCTAAACTCCAATTTGCAGCTCTCTAGCTTGCATTGGGTGTTTGCGTACTTTTGGAGCTACAGTAACCCCCAAAACCCCAAAAATCGTCAAAAGTGAGCTAGAAAGCTCCAGTTTTTTGGTTTAAGGCTGAAATGTCATGAGAATTAATAAAACTTGGAAAATTTCCAAAAATTTCCAGCGTCTCCTTCTGCTTCGTCATTATCGTCATCGCCGCCACAATCATCTCCCAGCTAGATGAGAAACCACAGAGATTTGGTCCATCCGCCGATAATACTGCCAATTTTTTCCCTCCAACTCATCACAAGACTACTGTAGTTACTACGCTCCGCCCACTTCGTGACAAATTTCTTGGCTAATTTTTGGACAGAACAGGATAATTAACGCTTTAATGATATATAAAAACCAGCAAAAAACCAAAATCCATACATAAAAAAACCCAAAAAACAAGAAAGAATTTAAGTGAATTATTCAACAACGAAAAAATTTTTGCACCAGGTAATTAAGAGATAATTGGGGGAGGAGGGTAATTAAGCGACAACATAATCCATTCGGGCTCTTGATTGAACTTCCTCGAAATCGGCAATCAGGTCACGAAGATTACTGTCATCGTTGTCATAAATCCAGATTATGTTCAAAATGTCTTTGATATTCTCCAAATGCGACAATTCGGTGATTCCCATCATCTGCAAAAATTTAAACATCGAAAAATCTGAATTTCTGTGCATTTTTCAGAGAATTTCAGCGCCAAAATCGAGTTTCCCACCGCTGAATTAGCCTAAACTCAATTTCGCGGCTCTCTAGCTTGCATTCGGTGTTTGCGTACTATTGAGGCTACAGTAATCCGAAAATTTCGAAAATCTGAATACCAGTGAATTTTCAGAGAATTTCAGTATTAAAATCGAGTTTCCCACCCTTGAATTCGTCTAAACTCCAATTTTCAGCTCTCTAGCTTGCATTCGGTGTTTGCGTACTGTTGGAGCTACAGTAACCCTCGAAAAACGCAAGAACATTCAAAAATGAGCTAGAAACCTCTAGCTATTTGGTTCGGGCTGAAAACACAAAAAATTTCAGTCTAAACGCAAAAACTAGAGCTTTCTAGCTCGTTTTTGACGATTATTCTCATTTTTTTAAATTTTCGGGGGATACTGTAGCTCCGAAAGTACGCAAACATCGAATGCGAGCTAGAGGGCTGAAAATTGGAGTTGAGACTAATTCCAGGGTGAAGAACTCGATTTTAACACTGAAAATCTCTGAGAACGCACAGGAACTCAGATTTTCCCGCCAAATTCACCTTGGTAACCTCTCTAGCGAGAACATCCTGACACTCTGTGTACTCATCCAGCGACACCGCTTTCGCCACTCGTTCATAGTACAGGGAAATTGCCACGTCGACATAGCCAGTCCATTTCTGTTTGATATTCGAAATTTCGGCGTCCAATGCGTGCATCAGATGCTTCTTGGTGGCAATATCGCCCAGCGAACGGCTTGGCATTTGACCACGAATCGAGTCACGGCTGGAAGAATGTTTGGTTTCGAAACGGACGGTTCTAGACCGGTCTGGTTCTGAAAAACTCACTAATTGGCAATCGTGAAACTGGCGACGTGTAGCTGAAGCCAAATTCTGAAGATTGGGATCAGTGTGAAGACGGCCGACGATGAAATGATGGGCTCGATGTCGATGGGACAGTCCATTTTGACGGAAATGCACTCGAACAGCAGTGGGGTGACCTGGGAAATACACACGGTTTTTCTAGGCCACTTACTTTTTCGGCCTAGAAATGCTCGGATATTTAACTGGTGCGGTTTCTAGGCCATGTTGACGTGGTGGCCTAACTTTTTCAAGTTGTGAGTTTTTCTAGGCCACCTACTTTTATGGCCCAGAAATGACCTGATATTCGACTCCACCAGACCAATATCCAAC